TAATTTTTCTAATTTTTTTCATGAATTATTGATATCCCTATATATTTTAAATAATTCAATTTGACCAATTTTTCTCTTAATTAGCCAAAATTCTAAGAAAATACCAAAAATTTCAAAATAAATTATTTTCATACCGTTTTCACCTTTTAGGCCTGAAATACTATTCTACATCCTTTATTCTAGGAATTTTCTAGAATTTCAGGTACACTTTCCCACTGTTCAATATTGACCGAATATTTTAAAATGACAATCCGGTCCCCAGTCTGGTTTTGGTTCAAAATTTGTATTGTCTATCCATTGGCTACCTTGCTTGACCCATAATCTATTTTATATTCCTCATTTTTAGGGTTAAAGTTAACAGAATGTGACAATTTGATTTAGTTTAGTCTAGAAATTTGAACAACAATTTAGCATTTTGTTTTACTAATATTAATGATAGGAAGCTTAATTTTATGAGGTTTATTATTATACTTTTATGCATGTCAAAACATACATAAAATTTTAAACAGGCTAAAAGCCCGCAGGCTGACCCGAGCACACTAATATAAGGGTCGGATTTCATGAAATAGGTACTTTTTAAATGCGAACCTAAATGGGCCTGCTTAAGCTTACAGCCCTTGAAGGGCTTTCCTAGTTCTAATTATTTACTCTTAACAAAAACATTATTGTTCTACCCATAATTTAAATATATCCTTATTTTATGTTAAAAACTTGACACTATATTTGGTTTTCCAATTTTTTTTATTAACACATTATGTTAATATTAATAGAATAATGATGTAAAATAGATTTTATATATTTACAAATTCGGGATTAACTTAACTATATAACTATATGAAAGTATACAAATCAGTTGAATTTAATCTATAATTTAACTTTTAAAAAATTTAAAAACATGAAAATATTAAAAATTGTTCTTTTAAAGAATGTGTTGGCGGGTTAGCAAGACGCAAGCCTTTTAACCTGCCCCACGGATTGGCCCGCATTATCACCTCTAAAAGAAAGTGATGCTCTTTTTTATTCTTCTTTTATAAGTAAGGTAACTAGTTTTTTGCAAGTTACTGAAAATCAAATTACTCATTGAACTAACCGAGTCAATGGTTCATATTGAGTCAATTCAGGGTAGCCTAGTCATGATTAAAGTAAAATAATTTAATTAAAATATATAAAACATTTAAATATGGCTTTTAAAATAACAATTTTTGAATAAAAAGATATTAATTCACAAGAAAATGGAATAATCATGGATAAATCAATGTAACCCTACAAAACAAAGTTATTAAAGCACAAAAACAATGGAATGCTATTTTTTTTAATATTTAAAAAACATTGTTTTACTTTTAACGAGGATAAAAATAAAGTAAAATTTAACTTGGTCGATCCATCCAAATACTCTTAACCGGACCAGTTAAGACATTGGTTTACCAGTTCATTAGTCAAACTAAATGAATCAGGTTGGGTTTTATACCATATTTTTTTATATTTATAAATTAGGAAATAATAATTATGAATTTATAATAGGAAAAATAATTATCAAAATACTCCTATTTGTAAAAAGAAAAAAAGAAGTTGTTTTTCCCAGGTGGATTATGGAAAAAATGTTCCTCCTAATTCAATCATTATCCCAATTCACATGTCATGGATCAAGAAAAAACATAACATGTTATTTCACAATCAAAACTTATTATTCTTAAGTGAAGTATTGTCACAATCTAGAATCAAAGTAAAAGAGTTAACTTTTTCTTTTTTGGGCATTACAATGTTAATAAAGCTTGTTGGCTTAGTGGTCATTCTTATTTTTAGGATACACCTAGTTAGGAGATTAAATCCCACTAGTCCCACTTAAAAAAAAAAAAAAAATTCTCCCACTTTATGAAAAAAATCCTCTTGCCGGTGACCGGCAAGTCTCTAATGAGGATTGTTTCTATTTTTTGAAAAACAAATGGGGGTATTTTGGTAATTTTGCTTGAATTTTAAAATTTCAATTTAGGTTTTATATCTGAGGGCCTATTTGGTTCTAAGAATTGATTGGAATGGAAATGAATAGAAAAGCATTGAAAGGAAGAAAATGGAAATTTTTAGCCGAGTGAGTGTTTGGTTCGCATTAGAATTGAAAATGAGTTCAGTAAAAAAAATATGTTTAGTGGGATGAAAATATGTTAAAAAATTGAGTCATTTTGCCATATTACCCTTAATGAAAGAATACAATATCCTTAAATAAGAAATGTTGTTTTTGATAAAAGACAAAATGATATAAATAAATAAAAAATGTTTTTCGGCCTTAGAGAATTATAATATTATTAAAAAAATCAATAAATTATAATTTAAATAAATAAATACGATGAGAAAAGGAGCAAGCAAATTTAAATTTGAAACAATAAATAATTTAAATTTGTTTGGGCATATTCAAATTTCTCTATACAAATTATATTTTCATTACGATATTCAAAATTTTGCGTAAAATTCTAATTTTGCTAAGTCATACTTAGATCCACTGTTATGCTCTGCTTTTTTATTCACCGAACATACTATGTTTTCACATAAAAATGGCAATAAAAAAATCAATTTATTTGACTCAAATAGCATGGCTAACATATTAGATTGTTCCAAAGGCATTTTAGAATATTGGAAGTAACAAACGGACTTCAAACTTTTTCATTATATATGAATGAATATGTATATTCACACGCACAAAAGTTTTATATACGGTTTGACTGAATCATATGAAGATGTTAACTAGGGGGCACATAAATAGCTAGGACTGAATAATGGAAGGGCGAAGCATGTAGGCAAATACAATGATGTTATGGGGTTTACTTACATTAGTAATGTTGATTATGAGCGTATGTAGATCAGTGAACAAAAAACCGGTTCTGACCAACCGGTTCAACTGATAAACTGGTGAACCAGTCAGTGGACTGGTTTGGTTTGGATACTAAATCGAGAGGGAGTTGAACCAGTAGAAAACCGGTCAAACCGGTAAAAACCGGGATGAACCAGTAATAAACTGGTTTGAATGATTAGGTTGTTATTAGTCCTATTTTTTCTCCTATAGCTCCTAATATATCAGCCCCTATAGATTTAATGAATTTTAATGATAATTTTGATATCAATGATTATTAACTTTAATTAATGATGAACTATAAAGATCAAAATTCTCAATGTTGTTGTACTTTGTCATTATTACAATCCCATTATTGTCATATTTTCTTATATTTTATTATTAGTGATTGTTAATGTTATTATATTTTGTTATTTTTAATTAAATCATATTATTTTAATATGACTAGTTCGATCCCGAGTTGACCTCGATCCGACCAACTGGTTCTTGGACTACTACCTTAACCGGTTCAATATCCGGTCTAGTTTTTTGTTCCTTGGTGTAGATGGAGCTAAGGCCAAAGAAAGATAGAAAGACATCCAGGGCATGATTGCATGTAAGTATTCCATTATGAGAGAATTACAATGATATCTTAAAGAATAAAAATAATTACTAAAAAGTTCAAATAACAATTAAGCAATTTGAAATAACAGATTTTAAAGTAGAAAATGACACATTTTAAGACTTAGTTTGTAATTATTTTTTTTTTGGGACCTTATTATAATTTTCCCTTTCATTATTCCTCTTTGGCTAGCCACTAAACATATTCCATTAATCAACTTTTCAGGGGCAAACGAACCAATCAGCCTTTGGTATGGAGGACTGAAAATCCGTTCCCACCACTTTTGGCGGGATCATATTTTCAGCTCTTCAGAGGAAAATCAGGTCCTGAGTTCCATTCCTTTCCTGCCTCTTCTTTGAACCAATTGCCCTCTGCTAATAGAAATCCTGATTTTCTATTTTCATGGCAAGATTTTCCTTGAACCATATGGGCCCTTAGTTGGGATTATATAAATTCAACTATTTAAATTGGCGTTTCATAATTTTCAAAGTTTTTAGTTATCATTTTTCTGATATGATACAAATATAATAATAAAAACATAGAGAAATATAAAAAGAAAGACTCCATCCTAAAAAACACAATGGCATATGTAACTTTGGGGACTTCCTTGACTTGCGCAGTATTTGGCTGGAGTATTTTGAGGAGAGAAAATGGGATAGGTGAAAGGAGGGGGATGGGGCTGTTTTGTCTAGAGAAATAAAGCGAGGAGGAGGAAATTTTTTTGTCTTTTTTTTTTTTTTGCTTTCTTCTCCTTTTTCTCAATTCTCATTCGTTTCAAATTGGGGTTTTTCTGGAGGCCGGATAAATGTTTTCTTCCGTCCTGACAAAATTGTCCACAGCTTATTTTCAATATTCCAGTATTGTCCTTTTAACTTATGAACCCTTCCCCAATTCGTTTTTGACAACCCTTCTCGTTTATTTGTTTGCGGGGTTCAGCCGCTCCTCTTCCCGCATCTGTGCCTGGGGCCTCTCCGCCGCCACCTGCTCCTGCAGCCGCAGGCATCGCCTCTCTTCCCTATTCATCTTCATTGTTGTCGGGTGAGTATCTCTCCTAGATCACATCGATTCTTTTGTTCTTCATCCTTGTTCTACTCATACACGTCTCAGCTATCTGCTTTCATGTTTCTGGTTTTATTCCTTTTCTTCTTTGATTCAGATTTCCTGTTTCTTCTTTGTTTCTAGTTTCTCTCACAATTAGTCGAACTTAAAATGTCCTGACTTGCAATATCGGATAAACCAAGAAGCGTTGAAGTTATTGCATAAAGGTACATTAGAAGTTGAAGTCTGACTAAACAAAACCAAAAAGCTGAAGTTTATAAATGCAATGCATGAGTTGGGAATATCGATGTGCACTTTAAAGAAGATTAAGTTGAAAATTGAGATAGCTTTTTGGTTAAGACATCCTTGATTGAGTTCCATATAACAGTATTCATTCCACAATGAGCCAACCCCAACAACCCCAACAGATTGCTTTTTGGTTGACCCGTCCTCCTTCCTTCGGCATCTCCTTCTCTTCTCAGTTTCTTCATTCTCTGCTGCGTCGACATTAGGTATGGGATCCCTTCTCGTGTTTGAGATTCCGTCGGCCTATTTTGCTTTGCTTATTTATTTATGTTTGATTTAGCTGGGTGAGTGGTTGAAGTTCTGTGTCAATGGCCTGGGAATTGTGGATTTCGGGCTAATGGTTACGCACTTAGTGGACTGTTCGAGTGATGCTTCTGTATTGGTTATAGAAGAATGATACGAAGGAGTTGTTGCTTGTTTGTTTCGGAATTACTATGGTTACTCACTGTTACATTTAGATAATGGTAAGCTTGGTTGCGCTGTTAGACTTGGTCACTATGGAAGAGCATCACCTATCCTAATATTTTTGCTATGAAATTTATTCTTTCTATTCATTGAGTTAAACCTCTTTAGATTCTGTTTACTGTAAGTTCATACCACGCTGGAGAAATCGAACAACTTATTTACAGTGCTGTTGTCTCATGACTTATGAATGTCTACGGAGAATTCCAATCACTAAGCTATGAGATGGACACAATTTTAATGTCATGGCTTTCTGATGTTGTAAATGGGTCGGATTTGATTCTACATATTTTTCCACAGTAATGTCCTATTAAGTCAGCTAAGATGCTCATTTCATAATGTATGGTTGCAACTTGAAGAGGATTATATGAATTCATAATAAAATACTTGAAAGCAAACCTTGAAAGTTTGAAGCTTGGCATTCTTCACATGAAAGAGAAAATAAAAGGATAGTTTCACATGGTGAAGGATTTTTATCGTCCTTTGATAGAATGCTCCCCCCACCAAAAAAAGAAAAAAAAAACCCAGAAAAGGAAAAAAAAAAAAAAGAAGGGAAAACAAATTCCTTGGCAGATTTAAAGAAATAATAAAATGATAGGGAATAACCAATAGGCCTTTGCCAGGGCTCATTAGGGATGAATGCAAGCTAGCCAATTCAAGTCTCTCTTCTAAGCCCACAGTGATGGTGATTAACTTGGAGGTGTGGGTTCCCTCAAGTTTCAACTTTGGGGTAATGGTTTGCGGTTGAGGTTTCTGGTTGTTTGTGTATATGCGAATTTCCGTGGATAAGATTTTCAGCATTGTTATGTTTTATTTATAAATTTCTGGGCTTGTTTTTTCTTCAAATATTTTCTTAAGGTTGCCTTCATTTGTGGAGCAATTTTTGGGAATACTTAATGCCCATTAAGAGTTCTACACAGAAAATTTCAAGATAGAATTACATCATAAATTTATTCAAATGGAACTATGAACACCCTCTCACTCAGCATTCTCGCTATATGTTAGAGTAAGATTGTCAATTAAATTCCATTATGTTTATAATGATGTTATTACTGATTGTTGTACAAATCAGTGTTATTAGAATCGTGCGATTTGGGATACGAATCGCACGATTTGTTACAGATAATACACTGGGAGATACGAATCTCCCAGTGTATCTTAAGGGCGTCTAAATCGAGCCCTGAATCGCGCGATTCACACCAGAATTGCGTGAATCGCGCGACGCCGGCGAATCGTGCGATTCTAGGCAGTGTCGGGTCGTGCAGATCCGACCCGGACCTATGCTCGACCCGACACGATGAAATCGCCGTTTTACTTCTTTTTTTTTTTTTGAATTTTTGCTTTTTTTGGGGTTATATAAGGAAGGAAATGACCCAACCCTATTTTTTTATTCCCCTGCTCTTCTTTTCACGTTTTACTCTCTATCTTGTGCCCCATGCTTCTTTTCTTCTCTTCTGTCGGTTCTTGGCTGAAATTTGGAAGCTTTCAAGTTTGAATGTTGAAGTCTCAAGTCTCCTCTTTTGCTGGTTCTTTCTCTTCTCTTCTATTCTGTGGTATTTTTTTTCCTCTATTTTTTTTATTGGATATTATATTGGTGGGAAAAATGAGTCAGAATCAGAATAAGAAAAAAAAGGAAGTTGACATTACATGGAAACATTGTGAAAGTGTTCCTCCCCATAGACTTATGGTTAAATGCAAATACTGTTCACATCAATGTTGGGGTGGGGTAGCCAGAATGAAACATCATTTGGCAGGAACCAGAGAAAATGTGAGTCCATGTACAAGTGTTCTTGATGAAGTTAAAAAGTTGTTTGTTAAAATGCTAGAAAATAAAGAAAAAAAATAAAGATGCTATTAGTGTTGAAATATTTGAAGAAGCAACTGCTCAAGATGCTAAGGGGAAGGAAGGGACATCAAAAACTATCAAACAAAAAACAATGAATGAGATGGTAAATGATAGAGATTTAGTAATTCAAGATATTTGTAAATGCATCTATGGTAATGCTTTACCTTTCAATTTGGTAAGAAGTCCACTGTTTATTCAAATGTTAAAATCTGTTGGTGAATATGGTAGGGGTTTGAAACCTCCAAGTGATCATGAGGTGAGAGCTTCTCATTTGAAAAAAGCTGTTGATAAAATTCAAGAAAGTTTAGTGAAGTATAAGAGGGATTGGGAAAAACGGGGTTGTACTTTGATGTGTGATGGTTGGACCGATGGTAAAAGGAGGTCTCTTACTAATTTTTTAGTTAATAGTCCTAGTGGGACAGTCTTCCTAAAGTCAGTAGACACAAGTAGTGTGATTAAAGATGCTAAACAAATGTTTGAATTACTAGACAATATGGTTGAGGAAATTAGAGAGGATAATGTGGTGCAAGTTGTGACAGATGGTGCCTCAAATCTCGTGGCAGCAGGGAAGATGTAAGAAGAGAAGAGAAAAAAATTATTTTGGTCTCCTTGTGCAGTTCACTGCCTTAATTTAGTCCTTGAAGACATTGGGCAACTTCCAGTATTTTATAATACCATCACCAATGCAAAGAAAATAACAACATTCATTTATGGGCATACATGGGTCCTGAACTTGTATAGAAAATATTCCAAGGGAAGAGAATTAGCTAGACCGGCAGTGACAAGATTTGCAACAGCTTATCTTACACTAAGTTGCATATTCCGGCAAAAGAATGCTCTTCGAACCATGTTTGCTTCAGATGATTGGGTTTCTGGTTCTTTTGCTAGTAAAAGTGAGGGTAAGCAAGTGGCGGACATGATTTTTGGGGATTCTAGATTTTGGAGTTCCATCAAATATTGCTTAAAGTGTGTGAGTCCACTTGTAAAAGTTTTGAGACTTGTAGATGGTGACTCTAAACTTGCTATGCCTTATATTTATGAAGCAATGGATAGGGTCAAAGAAGAGATTCCTGACAATTTTGAAAAGAAGGAATCAAGGTATAAAAAGACATGGAAGATTATTGATACTTGTTGGAATTTGCAACTACATAGACCCCTCCATGCGGCTGCCTACTTTCTTAATCCTAAGTAAGTTTTATACAATTTAAAGTTTAAAATTTAAATATTTATTATTTAATTGTATGCTAGAAAAAGATAACTTATTCATTATTTTTTTAGGTTCCATTATGATGAAAAATTTAACGCGGATCAAGAAGTTTAGTTTGGTTTATATGAAACTATTGAGAGAATGATTCCGGATAGAAAGACAAGATTTTTAGTTGATCAACAACTCGAGGCATTCAAGTCTACTAAGGGACTTTTCGGAAGGAGCATGGCAATAGATACTTGAAACAAAAAGCAACCTGGTATTATTCTCTAGTCTATACTATTTATAAGAATTTAATTTTTAACCTTAATAATAAATCTGAATTTTGAAAAACATTCCTAATTATTATTAGTTTTTTTTAACTCTTTGATGGGAAAGTTATGGAGGAGAAGTTAAGGAGTTACAAAAGATAGCTATGAGAATTTTGAGTCTCACATGTAGTGCTACTGGATGTGAAGGAAATTGGAGCACATTTGATCAAATCCATACTAAGCGAAGGAATCGCTTAGAACAACCTTATTTGTCAAGTATAACCTTCAACTTGAGATGAGACAAAAGATTAGAGAGGAAAAGGGAGAGACATATGATCCCATTTGTTTATCAGATATTGAATCTGATGATGAGTGGATCACTGAAAAAGAAAACCCGTGCTTGCTAGTAGATGGGTCATGGATGGACATACATGAGAGTTTCACACTTGATGAAGGAGCTCCAAGCAAGAAAAGAAAGAGAGGTATAATATTTTAAAACTAAATTTAAGTTGATTTTAGTTTAAATATATATCATCATACTTATTTAAGTGTTTTTTTCCCCCTTAGGTCCAAGAAATTTGAATGCCAAAACCAATAGCAAGGGGAAATCTATAGTAGAACAAGAGAATGAGAATGAAGATAATGTTGAAGATGGGGAAGAAGAGGATGATGAAGAAGTGACATTGTTAATGGAGGATGATCATGAATTGAGTGACATTGATCTTGGAGATGATGAATGATGAATTGAATTTTATGTTTACTAACTTTAGTCTTTTCAAGTTAGGAGTTTGAATTTTGAATGGATTTTGGGGACTATTTATCTTTAAAATTTCATATATTGGTTATTTCATTTTTTTTGAGGCAGTGTATCGCACCTAATATTTACAAACTTTTAATATTTTTTTATGTGAAAATTACTTATACATTATCCTTAATAATTGTTTATGAATCTTACAATTCACAATACGATACGATTCAAGATTCATAAAACCGGCTTTCCGATACACGATTCATATCCCGATTTGATAACCATGGTACAAATAGTTATTTTTGCTTATGCAAGGAAGTTGTTTTTCCCGTTGCTGCTAAAAGTAATTACATTTGCAGCACGCCAAGTATGTCCAAAGGATTGGGATTTGATCCCTTTCATGTTCTGCCACCTTGCGGGTAAATTGCCAGAAATTGTTCCTTGCCTTCCGTAATTGGTGGGCTTTGTGAACTGCATGAAGGAAAAAGGTAGAGAAATGCATAATGTCTATTTTATAGTCGGCCTTTGGTTTTTGAAAGTGTTTTTTAAGCCACGTGTTTGGTGGTTTTTATCTAGTGAAATTCCAATTGTGAGAAATTGCAGATTCTTTTCTTTTATTCCATAATATTGATGTGATGTTTTACTGGTGTGATGTGTGTTTTTCCTAGTTATTTGTTATTCTCACAGGTATTTATATGTGAGAATTCAAAAATTAACAATCTTGAAATTTCTCAATCTTGTCAGATTTTATTCGCCATAAGTGAAAAAATTGAGTTTTTTATTCTTGCAAAACAGGTCTTTGATTTTTTTTTTTTATTCATGCTGAATTTTCCCTTGAAAATTAAAAGAATTTCAGTTTTTATGTAAGTACTACATATCTCATGGAATTTTCCCATGAAAATTTCCATGAGAGTAAAAATTCTTGGAATGTTTTCACAAATTTCAAATCTCAACAGTTTATGTTTTTCTGACCTAAAACCTTTGAGAAAATTTTAATAACGTCATTCTCACAGGCTTTTTGGTTTTTTCTGAACAAATGCTTCGGAAGGACATCATTGTTTTCTCTTGGTGATTTGTGACTTCACAAGTTGTGCTTCCCTTTCCTGCCACTTCAGGTTATGTGCCTTTGATTCATTTTTTCCCCAACAAACATCATTGTATTCAATTTTAAGCTTTTTGGCCAAGAGAATTTAATTAATTTAGGAATTTTAAAAGTTTAAAACAAAGCTATAGAAGGGAGCGGATAATTTAAGGTATTGATGGTTTTTTTTCCCTTTGGGTTCAACCCAATACAAGAAGGCAAATGTAACGGAAATTTGATTTTTCTTCCCCCCCAACAAACGTCATTGTATTCAATTTTAAGCTTTTTGGCCAAGGAGCTTCTACGCTGTGTTGTGCGTTCATGGAGCTTTCACTTCTGTCGGGTTTGATTTGCTCAAAAGCTCAAAAGAGGAAGGTAGCATCTCTTCGTGACCAAAGGGAAAATCCCATGGCATGTGAAGTGGGTGGTAGAGTGAAGGATAGTCCAAGAGAGATGACATGCCTTGTGCTCAATGACAGACAGGACTGAGAAACTTGTGAAGGGTCAAATCTGTATTTCTTTTTCGTGATTTTGGGGAAAAGGTGATCCAAGTTGATTGGGAAGGAAGGATTTCTGAGAAAAAAGGAAGGAGAATTGAGACAGCCTGAGAGAGGCTAAAGCAGAGTGAGGACAACTGACAGACAAGAATTTGAATAGAGAGAAATGGGTTTTATGGAGTAGAACTTGGAAGAAGGGGAAATTGAGCAAGAACTAAATAGATTTCCCTTCTTTAGTAGCCAATTACAAAAACATCTATATGAGCAAGGATTTCCGTTTGATTCTTTATTACTCAATTTACGAATGCAGGTTTTGTAGATTCCATGGCTTTGAGAAAGAATCTTTGGCAGACTGTTCTACACGGAGAGTTTGATGGGTACCTTGTGTACCCTCGACGGCTCTGTACTACAAAGGTGGACCTAAAGAAGCTCCGCCCCATGATTTATGAGAGGATAGAAAAACGGGCTAATGAATACCCAGTTCGTGCCATGGTTCCAGTAGCGGTGGAGGTCCTCAAGGCCAGGAATGTTCTCATCCAAGGCGTTTCTGCCCTCCTTCAGTCCTTTCCAGTCATGGCTTGCAAGTGAGTTTGATTATATTAGTTGATGATAACATCTCATGGTTTTACCTGTGATTCTATGGTGTGATGCTTTTATTTCCTAGTTGGGGGATTTGCAACAGAGATGTGATCTGGCTCTTTTTAATCTTATAATTTCTTTTGTATTTCGTATTAAGCAACTTGTGCAATGACATGGTTTATTATATTTATTTTTCTGTTAATTGTAGTCTTCCAAAAAATCTACATGGAGCTTTGCTTGTCTAGATGTCCATTTAGATGTTGAAGAGTGGAGGAAAAGAAGAAATGGGATGGCATTGCAGGCGTTTTCTGGTTTAGTTTTCGAGAAAAGGAAAGAATGTCCTAATGTCATCAAGCCCACCATTATCCTTTTATCCTGTTATTAAGTGAGCAAAACTTAGTTGTAACTGGTATTGGCATATGATATAATTATTTTCACTTGTTCCACTTGAAATGCTAATATATTATAGAAATTGTTATACCTTCGATCCTTTCCAGCTAAAATAGGCAAACATTAATTTGATAAATAGAATCCAAGTCAGGTAATTAAGTAGAAGGTTTGCTTGGACATACTCTCTTCACATTTCTTATGCTCATATCCTACAAAAGACTGTTCTTATCTTCCTATATTATACATGTTCAGATTCTGTCCAGAGATATTTATTGATGAGAAGGGACATTTAATTCGGACTTGCCATGGCTACAAGCGTCATGCCAAGAACAGGTGTCATGAATGGGTTGCAGGTGGCTTGGATGATATACTTGTTCCTGTTGAAACCTATCACCTAAACAACATGTTCCAAGGTGTTATAAAGCACAACCAAAGGTTTGACTTTGATCGCATTTCTGCTATTGATGAGCTATGCTGGCAGGCTGGGGTTGACCCTTGTGGCAATATTGTTAGTGGCAATTCACAAGGGAGCGAGTTTTTGTCACCATATGATCTTACCTTTGTAGCTAATAGAACATTAACAGCTTGGGAGACTCTTAGGTCGGGAGTGCTGAAGTTGCTGTTTGTTTATCCGGCAAAAGTCTGTAAATATTGTTCTGAGGTTCATGTTGGGCCATCGGGCCATAAAGCTAGACTCTGTGGTGTGTTTAATTATGAGAGCTGGCGAGGAGCTCACTTTTGGACGAAAGCAGAGGTGGATGATCTCGTACCTCCAAAGATTGTATGGAGACGGAGGCCTCAAGATCCTCCTATACTTGTAGATGAAGGGAAAGGTTATTATGGGCGTGTACCAGCTATTTTGGATCTGTGCGCAAAAGCCGGTGCCCTTGTACCTGCAAAGTATAACAGTATGATGAAAGCACAAGGTTTATCTGGTCCTGCCTTTTGTAGATAATGATAAAATGTGGCATGGAAACTATTTACTTAAAGGTCTTTGAAGCCAATAGTCGGATTAGTTGTAAGCCTGGTTTGTTTTGGGGCACTGATCAGAAAAGGTTTGAGAAACCGATTGACCGCAAGTGAATTACAAGACCTGCAACTTTTCAGGTATTTTATACTATACGTCTGTGAATCCATGCATGTCTCCTCTTCACTGGATGACAGCCAGAAATTTTGTTTCTTCATGCCAGATAGTTTCTTCAGACTTCACCAAAATCTCCAGAGTTTTGTGGCTGGACCTCATTGACACCAGCCCTTGAAGATTATAAGTTATATCATAGTCCTATAATCAATTCAAAGATCGCAATTATTTTCCTCCATGTATATAATCATATTGTCTAGTTGATGAATATCTTACTAGTCCAAATTGCTAGGTACATAAACATGGAAGGAACTGTATTGTCGTAAATGATTGCAGCAAGTAAAATAGCTGCCGAAATGGAGGCGGTGATCACTAAAATCTCATTTCGGTGGGAAGGCCACTTTCTTGACATAGAGTTGATTCTGTAGCAAGTGCCTTTTGTTTCTTAATTTCTTAATGATGCGAAATTAGTTATTGTTAGTTCACAGTTGACAGTTGTTCACATAGCTAATTTTTATGCATTTTTTTTCGCTATCCATACTATCTATACGCCAAAAATAAAAATGAATAATAATTTGGAAAAATTATGCTGAGGTCCCGAGGAATGGAAAATATTGCAAAAAAGTCTTATGAGATTTGATAATTAATTACAAATCCCAAAGGGACTTAATTGTATTGAGGGAGAATATGAAAAGACTCAATTGTCCCTGCCACTAAAGACACAATGCACTGAAAATAGATTTTGAATCCTACTAGTCCCTTGACTACTTCACTCATTGACAACTGACTCCAAATCCTCCAAGCAACCTCCCCTAAATCTTTTGATCATGGCGGGAGTCTTGAAAGTCAGCCTCATCGTTGGAGTAGTTGCAGAGAAGATTGTTGCTAGAGTTATTTAAAGTCTACGTCGTTGCCAAGGTGGTTGCAGTAAAGCTCCTCGTTGTGGCTGCCAATCTATTCATTTGTGTTTGAAGCAAAGTCTTGAGTAATCCTCCTCATGATGAGTTGTCGTTTTTGTTACTGGGCGCACTCCTTTTTCGTTTTGCCCTTGTTATAATGTCTGTTCGATTTGCCTAAACTAAATGTTGTCTTTGATATGAACCTGGTAATAACTTGGTGGCTTTTATTAATTTGCGGCTTGTGGTTTATGCGGATGGGTTGTGTTTCTTGTAATTAATTTCTTTATACTCCTCCAGTCTTTAATATAATACCTATTTAACTAATTTGATTAGATCAAAGAAGTTAGGTAGGTTAGTTAACTATAAGAAATATGACATGTTTTTTCCTAAAACACTATAATCATTCTTTCTCAATATCCTCACTCTCTCTTCTACCTGATTATGGTTGAGAGAGTATCCATAAGAGTAATTTAGAAAAAAATTGATAAATATGTCTCATATTTAGGACCAAAATCAACTCAACAATTAGGTTCTGTATTAAGAACCGGAGGAGTAGTCTTATTACCACATGAATATTTCGTATGCATATGTCTTATTCAAAATGGCCAGGATTCATAGAACTTGTGGAGGCATATGATTCCCAAATTTTTAGTTAAGGTTTACGTAAATTTTGACCCCCCCCCCCCCAAAAAAAAACAAGCACTCTTCTTCATTCTTTCTTCTAACATTATAACAGTGGGTTTGGATCCCTTAAAAAACTTGGATTTGGAATAAAGATATGATGATAATAATATGATTCAAAACATATTTTGTGATATATGACTAAAAACATGCACGAAGTAACTAGACAAATTACAAAGAGTGTAGTGAAGAAAGTGGATGTGAGATAAGAGTATGAATCATTGAACTAAGGTGATTTGAGCATTTTATATTTTCATATAGTTTCAATTTATTTACAGTTTGTTCCACTAGTGGGTTCTAGTTGTCATTTATTTCTATTGGGTTTATTCACATATTTGCTTCTCTATAGAGATCTAAAAAGCATTAAAAATTATTGCTAACAGCCTACCATGCATTTAATTGCTAAATTATCTAGTTCAAATTTTTCTTTCCTGTCAAAGAAAATTCTATGGATGTTATCTACCTAGCTTTGCATCCTCTTTCATTATAAAACTTTCTTTTTGAAGAGAAAACCTATTACCTTTTACCATGCCCTGGATCCCTTAAAAAACAGGGATTTGGAACAAAGATATGATAATAATATGATTCAAAACATATATTGTGATATACAACTAAAAGCATGCACGAAGTTAACTAGATAGATTACAGAGAGTGCAGTGAAGAAAGAGCAAGTGAAATAAGAGGATGAACCATTGAACTAAGGTGATTTGAGCATTTTATATTTTCATATAGTTTCAATTTCTTTACAGTTTGTTAGACTATTTTCTGTTGGGTTTATTTATTTATTTGCTTCTCTGTTTTGCTATAGAGATCTAAAAAGCACTAAAAATTACTGCTACCAGCCTACCATGCATTTAATTTCTAAATTATCTAGTTCAATTTTTTTCTTTCCTATCAAAGAAAATTCTGTGGATGTTATCTACCTGGCTTTGCTTCCTATTTCATTATAAAACTTTCTTTTTGAAGAGAAAAGCTATTGCCTTTTACTATGCCCTGGAACTATTATATGTTATCTTTTATGATGTTGGGTGATGCCCATACATACAGATTGAGTGGAAATTCTAAAAAACTTTATGAGCTTAGTTTGTCTGCAAACTCAATGATCTTCTATTGATATAATTTTGAGTGAGCTGTGAGCATTTATTTCTGTTTAGTGGCATGATGTTATATTTTTATATGATGTTTTGACTGATTAAGAAAATAGGGGAAAATACAAACAATAAAGGTGGTCAAGGTAGCTGTACTTTTCTAGTTATGTATTGTTTATTGAGAAATTCTATCAAAAGAACTCAAGGAAGCACAACTAGGCTTCAACCAAAGTCAAAAAAGAGGATATAAATGTAGGGGAATATGTTGTTATGGAACTGATTTTATTTTTTTAAATTAGTCTAGCATTGATTGTAAGGTTATTGACAAATACTTGTAAATGACAGCTTCACTTGGTAAGTGGCAGCTTTGTTTTGTTGTTAACAATTCATTTTGTATTAGCTATTATGACTATATTATCAATTACTACTTTCGTTCCTTAATATAAGAGCTTGTTTAACTTTTATTTTGGTTTTAAATATAAGACCTTAATCTATTTTGTCCTTTATATTTATCCATTCTTTTCAAAGTAGTTTTTGTAATAATAGTAGTTCTAGCCAATACGTTTAATTACCAAAGATATTTTAGGAAAGACAATACCTATTTAATACAAATAACTAACTTAACAAACTTTCTTAATCTACTCAAATTAGTCAACTAGCCCTTATATTAAAGGTTGAAAGTAATATATCAACAAGAAGCCGATGACAAGTGAGGGTAGGTTTCTTGATAATTAAGGGTGTTAGAAATGACAAGTGATAGTTTTATTGTTAATAACTCATTGTGTCAAGAACAATTTATATATATATATATATTGAATACTATATTAGTACTTACTTTCATCTTCATATATTACATATTTCCATATTTTTAGGTTTAAAACAAAATTGAGAATGTTATATCATATATCACAATCATAATGTATCAACATATAAATTGACAGGTGATCTTGATAAGTGAGGATGTACATACTAACAATGGTGCATTGGATAACAATTGACCACACATCAGAATATAAATTTTAATGATAAGTGGAATTTGCAAGTAACATTTCACTTTCAATGACAATATTATATCGCATTATAACCAAAATGTATCATTTCAATTTATGTAGCTTGAAATCAATTTTTTTTCAAATTTATATCAGCAAATATATTGACAAATAATAGTGATGTAATTGACAAGTCAAAACAAGTAACGATGTACTTAATGACAAGTAGCTTCATATCAGTATCATTTATAATTAACTTTCAATTATAAAAGAATATCATATTGTAATCCAAATGTATTAGTTCAATTTATGTAACTTGGAATCACATTTTTTTCTAAACTTATATTAGCATATAAATTGACAAATGACAATGTTGCCATTGACAAGTATGACAAGATGTATTGACAAGAAAGGGTGCAAATAATGACAACTAAATACAGACAAGTAAGGAATATGTTATTGTTAATACACCCGTCATTACTTGTAATGATCTGCACCTTACATTATCAATATACCTTTCATTACTTGTCAGTCATTATGCTATCACTTGTCATTTTCATGGTGCTAATAGTCTAATAAATGACTTGTTAATGTAGGTACCTTCACTTGTCTTTGTAAGCTTCCTGAGTTGGTTTTTGGAATTTAATTATATTAAATTGATTTATAGACTTTTATTTGGAGATTTAATTTTAGACACTACATGCAATGTATTCTCCACTTTAAGTTATGTACAATAATTTAGAATGGTCTATTTTTAATAAATTAATTATTTTAAAATAATATGAATTGTCATTTTAGCATAAAGTGAGTAGTTATTTCTTGTGTCCACATTTGTTAATACTAATACCTTAACTTGTCAATACAGATACCTTCATTTGTTAATTCCTTGCTATTAAAAATTTGATATAAAATTATGATGCAATCTCATTTCAGGTTAAGGATTCATGGACTCAAGTTTAAGGAGAAGATCTTCCTCCACTACTACTGTTAATATTTATCATGATATACAAATACCATATAATCGGTGAATAATAATAAGAGAATAATATTAGATAAAAAATTATATTTATAGAATTCAAAATCCAATAAAAAAATTATATGAATAAACATCATACAATTTGAAAAAAATTAATAACTTGAGCATTCCCTATACAAAAGAACATTGTCTTATAAATTTTTTGAATTCCAAAAGAAATTCTATTAATAAAAAATTCCTAAAATTTGGTTCTTGCTCAAACACCATATTCCAAGCTTTGCTCTTTACGTATGCACCCATACATGTAATATTCAATATAAAAGCAGTGAATGATGCTCAAAGAAATATGGCTTTTGTTACCTTAAACTGTGTCACACCTTCTTTTTAGTCCTCATTTTACCTTAATTGGAACCATTTAGAATCATTTTTTATAGCTTTAAGTTGAAAAAAAATTGAACTTTAAAATTTTAAAATTTCATAAATTTGGGTTACTATTCATTGCAACCCTAATAAAAGCCAAACTTTGAAAATTCATAATTAATTCTATGAAAATCAAAATGAAGTGGCTCCAAGTTCTACTTAAAGCTATTAGTGCCATCTTTAAGGGAAAAAAATACTCATTGGCATCCAAAATTCACCAATTAATCTCAAATTTCATGCAAAATAGTGCTATTCATATAGTTATTTTTTAGTTTTTCAGGATTTATACCCAATTTTGGAAAAGCATAACTTTTTGTACAAAACTCCGAATTTAATAAAATACCACATGTTTTAAAGCTAAAAATAAGATCTATAAGCCTGCCAAATTTCAGCTCCAAACTCAATCAATTGCACAAAATTTCGTTGGTCAAA